AGATAAGAATATAACAAAAATAAAAGTATTTTTTGATATACAATTTTTTGGTGACTTTTTTCAGTCAGTATATTGAGAAAACACTTTATAATTTTTTGCTAGAAACATGGACAATTTATAAATTTGTTTTCCAAATGTTTTTTCTGAACTTTACTGTTTTTATCAATGCACAGGAAACCGAGAAAACTAATTGCTATTTATTTGTAAAAAATATATATATATAATTTTTTAACAAGTTTTTCATAAAAAAATAAAAAGCCATTACTAATATTTAAATATAAAGTATTGAGTTGTTTTCAATACCCCTGTTTAAATTGTCTGCACTTTTGTAGGACTATCCAATTTGCGCATTTAAACTCGATAGTTTATTTTCTGATGAACTATTGTTATTGACGATGCTCCAAAAGCTTGTAGGCTAGTCCATTTTTAATTTACTGAACTTTTTTAACAAAATGTTAAAAAATGATCAATCGTTATGTTCATTATCTCTAGTAATTCATATTAAAATTGAAAATTTTGCAATATAAAAGAAACAATTTCATACATGCATCAAATGCGATAAATATATTTATTAAAGAAACCTTGTTATTTTTTTATTTAACATTTTCCATTATTACAAAATTTATTTATCAAATAATATATTCTACAAATAAATAACAATTTATTTTTTTATTTTCCTACTGTATAAGTATTGAGAAAAAAACGTCAAATATAGTAAAAACATTTTTAAAAGCGAAAAAACATACAAAACGAATGAACATAAGAAAAAAAATTTACAAAATTTCTCATAGTTCTATCGTAATTTCTTAATTAAATGGACTGAGAAAAATCATTAATAAATTGCATATTAAAACTTTCAATTGTTGTTATAATGGTTATAAAAGATGTTTTTTTCAAAAAATTTAAAAAAAAGAATACAAAAGTTGTATAAAAATTTTATAATTTTTTTTTTTAATTTACTTTTTTTAATTCTTTTTTATTTCATTAAACTTGATATTTTGTTACAACTTAGAAGTGTTTGAGGTTGGAAAAATACCGCTGACCTCATTTCTATGATTTAATAAACAAGCCTATCAACCTTTAGTTCAGTTGATGGAGCAACAATGATGGTATTTAATAAAAATGTTGATACGAAAGATACGAAAGTGTTGTAACTATATTTATAAAGATTGTGAGACTACTTGTAAGTTTCTTCCATGTCATTACATAAGAAATGATAGCTCATGCTAGTTAAACTTAGTCTCATTAGTCTTTAGTTATAAGTGAGTCCAGTTAGGCCAAGAACAGATTTATTCAACTTGTGTAGAATATTTTTAATTGATCGTTGATCTTTTTTATGCCTAGGATAGTAGACAGAGCTGAAATAATTAAGGTGAGGTTGAACAAGGGAAATAAACAAAGTATGGAATATGAAGATATTTAGATTTACAATTGATCTTTTGATTATTGCAACTATTTTATTTGCGGTGTTAATCTTTGTATTTAATGAGAAGAAAAAGTCAAATTACTGTCAACAAAGACGCCAAGGTCTTTTTCGAAAGAGAACTTTCTAGATTAATTGAGGTATTGAGATTTGTATTAAGGAGTGTATAAATAAATTTTGAGTTTGTTGGTTACATTAAAACTTAGTTTCCATAAATTTGCCCACTTTGCTATTATGACCATATTGTTTTGCAGCTTATTGCATGATGACCTATCGGAAAGTAATTTGTATAACTTAATATAATCTGCAAAAACCAATACAACAGCTGAAACCAATTCATAAAAATTATTAATATATATCAAGAACAAAATTAGACCAAGAACTGAACCCTGGGCAACCCAGTAGTTACTTTTATCCATTCTGTATATGTACCGCTACCATTGATATTCTGCTGCCGATCTCTTAGGTTACAATCTATTCAATTGTAGAGTTTGTCATCTATTACAAAAACTTTTAATTTTAGAAGTAGGAGATACAGAAGTGCAGAACTGTGTCAAAAGCTTTCAATATGTCCAGATATATATTATATATATTAGTTTTGTTTTTCAAGGCTAATGTCCAAGCGTCGATAACTAACATTAAGTTAGTTATCGACGCTTTGTTAGACACGAATGACCTTTATTAAATCCATATTAGGAATTGCAAAACAAGGAATGTTTGTTAAAATGTGAAACAATACAAGATTTTATAATTTTTTCAACGATACAGGTGAGGCTAATCGGTCTATAGTTTTTGGCCAGTGACTCATCTCCTTTCTTAAAAATAGGGATGTGAGCACCCTTCCAGATTTGTGGTAAGATTCCATCATTATATGACTTTATAAAGATTATGGTGAGAGTAACTGAGATTGTATGACTTAATTCTTTAAGAATTCTAGGATGAATGTTATGGTCCTGCAGATTTATAAATTTGAGATTACTCAAATAATTGGAGTTAATAGTAGGAGATAAATAAATGTTTGAAGAGATTTAAGGTACACTTTTGTTTATAGAAAATATTAGAATGGATTTTATATCTAGAGCCAAAAAGAAGGTAAAAAAAAAAAATGCTTTCAAATGGTCATTATTAAATTTCAAATTGGCCAGTTTTATTGTTAAAAGTAATATTTGGTAAACCATTACTTTTGCTTTTATATTTTAAATAACTATAAAAAATTAAGTCAAATTTCTTTCAAATGATATCACAGCATTTTTGCATATATTTTTGGCTTTATTGCATGAGTTAAGATAATTAAGATAATTAAGATAAGAGCTTCTGTTTTTTGTTATAAAAATTTTCAATATGCTTGTACTTTTTCCTGTAAGGATTTGTTATTAAACTATTGAGATTTTTTTACGACTTTTTATTATTTGTTTTGAAATAAGAGTGTTTGTTTGGTTGATTAGTGTGTCATGAAATAAATTCCATGAGCCAGTAATATCACCTTTTTTTTTGCTGCCCTGATGCTGATCAACCCGAGACACAAATCAATGAGTAATCAAGGGAAATAATTAGTAATTTCTGGAAAATGAGTCAAAACCATCAGAATAAGAGTAAGAGCATAAACCATAAATCACCATTGGATGATGGGCACCCTGTATCATGATTTTAGGTTTTTAATGTTTTATAGTTGAAAGCAAATACAGCTTTTGACTGTAAAACAGAGTTAAAGTAATATTTGACTATAAACAACCCTCAGAATTAGGAAAAATGAGGTCAGCAATAATTTGCCGACCTCAATCTCTTAGAGGTCAGCATTAGGTAGGCAAAAAAAAATTGATACAAAGATCTTACCATAAAACATAGAAACAAGGTCAGTAATTTTTTGCTAACCTGAAAACATTTAGGACGGCAGTTAGGTCGGCATTGCTGAATGCCGACCCTAATTCTGAGGGTTGCTGTAAGGTAGGCATCTAACTCTTGTAGAACAACAACCAAAAAACTCTTTTAATGATTTGCCACTAAATATTACATCTTCTAATTCTTAATTTTCTAAAAGCTAGATGCTAACCTTGCCAACAATACAACCCCTAAAATTTGATTCTACTGTAAAAAATTGCCCTAAAATCATGATGTGGGGTCCCATTACAAGCCATCTAAGTGGTTTTAATGTAACACATAGTAAAGCAATAACATTTCCATAACTTTAATATTCTAAATTCTCACTATATATATATATATATATATATATATATATATATATATATGAATATATATATATATATCATATATATATTCATATATATATATAATATTCATATATATATATATATATATATATGAATATTATATATATATATGAATATATATATATATAATATTCATATATATATATATATTCATATATATATATATATATATATATCTATATATATATATATATATATATATATATATATATATATATATATATATATATATATATATATATATATATATATATATATTCATTGCAGTGCTGTTTGCAGATTAATTGCAATGCAAGCAAAAAGTGGCATTTTTTCCTACCCCAAACCCAGTGGACGCAAGCGATGCACAACAGCTCGACTTGATAATGCTATCATTCATGCTGTCAAGAAATCTTTTAGAAAGTCTTCATTAGCAACACAGTCTGCTATGACCCTAGAACACAAACCAAATACATGAACAATTTGTGATGAGTCCGCAATATCTCAGTTTTATGCTTTTACCAGACACATCAGGCGCCCACCCGGAAAACGCTACAATAAGCAGTTTGTGGTTCCAAAAGTCAAAAATGAACCAAAGATCATAATATGGGGTGCAATCAGTGCTCATGGCAGAATTAGTTTATGGTTCATGCCTTCATGCCACAAGGAACCACAATTAAAGCTAAGAATAAATTGCCTACTTTTATGCAATTATTTCCAACATGATGGCGCACCCTGCCATCAAACTTCAACCGTCAAGGCTTGGCTACAACAACAGGAAACCAACATTCTTGGGCCGTGGCCTGGCAACCTGCAAGACCTCAAACTCATTGAGAATTTATGGGTTGTTTTGAAGGCAAAGGTGGCTGCAAAAAAATACTACATCTCTGGCAGAATTGCGGGAAACTGTAAAAGCAGTTTGGGCTACTGAAATTACTGTGAGTTACTATGAAAAGCTGTGTTTATCAATGCTGCACAGAATAGCTGCTGTGCTAAAAAATAAGGGAAAACATACAAAATATTGACATTTGCTGCTCAGTAAATAAGTAGCAATTGACATATAAACACACGAAAAGTTTTTTTGCTAGTGTTCTATCCATTTTGGCCAAGACTGTATATATATATATATATATATATATATATATATATATATATATATATATATATATATATATATATATATATATATATATATATATATATATATATATATATATATATATATATATATATTATGATTTGATTTGATATACTTTTTAATTTAAAAATAACAGTTTAAATAAAGAACAATTTTATAAACAAATAAAATTTAGTAAAATTTTAACATCAAAACATTTCTAGAGTGTTTTTATTTTAAGAACAAAGGATACTGATTTGTGAAAAGATTGTATCTAAACAATTCGCAAGTGATAGTAATACAGTATCTTGCCAAATCTTTGTGAAATAAATAGCAAAAGTTTTGTTTTGTTCCGGATTCTTCATAAATGGAATAACTAAATTAAAAAAATAATAATAAAGATTGTCAGAAAAATTTGTGCACATAATATTGTCAGAAAAATTCTTGTAGATAACTATGTTAGAAAAAGTTACAGATAACAATGTCAGAAAGATTTATGTAGATAACAATGTAAGAAAAATTAATGTAGATAAGATAGCTAGAAAGATTAGTGTAGATAAGATTAAATTGTGCAGATAAAATTGTCAGCACTGTCATAATGTAGATAAAAACAATTTGGGATTTTAAGTAAATAGTCAGTAAATAGATAAATTTTGTTATGTTTATGTGATTTTATATATATATATATATATATATATATATATATATATATATATATATATATATATATATATATATATATATATATATATATATATATATATATATATATAAATAGAAGAAAGATGGAGCGATTCATGAAGCCCGATATACTTGGTATAGATCCGAATTTACCAGATGCACCAAAAACATACAACTATTGGTTAAGAATATTTTATAATTTTATCAGTACAGTTGATGATAACTCCATCAAGCGTAATTTCATAATAAACCATATTGAACTTAATGTCTATGAATTCATATCAGAGTGCAATGAGTTTGAACAAGCAACAAGTATTCGTGAGTCTATTAACATAAAACGAAAGAATAAAATATTTGCCAAACACATTTTGTCAACACAGAAGCAGAAACAGAGTGAATCAATAGATCAATTCCTAAATGAGCTAAAAAATTTATCTTAAGACTGATGCTTCTGATTTTGCTATATCTGCCACACTTAACCAGGATGGAAGGCCTGTTGTTTTCTATTCATATACCTTTCAAGTGGGTGAACAATACTATTCACTAGTGGAGAAAGAAGCTCGAGCAATAGTAAAAGCCATAAATCATTGGCGATATATATGTATATATATATATATATATATATATATATATATATATATATATATATATATATATATATATATATATATATATATATATATATATATATATATATATATATATATATATATATAAATGATCTGTGGCATTTATGTATGATTATAAATCAAGAAATAAAATAAAGAATGATGATATGATGTGTTGGAGAATAGCCTTGTCTCCATATTCTTATGAGATCCGTAGTCCTGACCAATATAATAGTGATCCAGATACATTTACTTGCGTTAGATGTGCAGCAATAAGTTCAGAATCATTATATAATCTGCATACTGCACTTTGCCATCCTAGTGTTACTCGGCTCCATCATTTTATTCGATCAAGAAACCTCCCTTATTCAGTAGAAGATGTAAAGCAATTATGCAGAGATGGTAGAATATGTAAAGAAATAAAATCCCATTACTATTGCCCAGATGATGTGCATCTAATTAAAACAACTCTGCCATTCGTATATCTATTACGTAAAACAGATAAATATCATAAGAAATATCTATTGATTTCAAAGTTGCATCTTTTTTACCCCTAAACAATATATGCTAACAATTGCAGACGAATACTCTCATTTTCCCTTTGCTTATCCTATAAAAGATATGACAACTCAGACAATAATTAACTGTTTAGCTGACCTTTTTTCCATGTTTGGTATGCGTGGCTATGTTCATTCTGATCGCAGATCCTCATAAATATCTTCTGAGTTAAAGCGCTGGTTCTTATCAAAAAGGATCTTTACAATTCGACCAGAAACAAGCAAGTTAAAAGATACAATGGAATTATTTTGGAAGTCAATTTTACTCACTCTAAAATCTTGAGACCTGCCTATATCAGGCTTTCACAGGAAGGCGTGCGATCGCATGTCTTTATATGACCAAGCAAATTACATTTTGGTATGACTAACGCGGCTAATTCAAAAAACATTTTAAAAACGCGCTAAATGAAAAATATTCTGAAAAAGTGAAATTAATTGCATCATTACATCTTAACAAATGTTTTTTTATTAGCCAAACGCTTTTAAATAAAGTAACAATTTACTGATAATGGTTTTTTTAAAAAAATATAATTGACAGTTGTATATATTTTTTTAATTTATAATATATAAATTGTTAAAGTGTGCATTTCTATAATAAACGTTATTAAAAAATAAAAAAATGTTTTGTTTTTATAAACGATGACATTCTATGATTACGAAAGTCTCTTTAATGAATTTAAATATAAGAATAATTAAAGTTAATACATTTAACTTTATTTATTCTTATATTTAATAATAAAAGAAAAACAAAATTTTGTTGAAAAACTTTAGAAAGCTGTTACAATTAAATAAATTTGACCTTAAATGCTTTTATATTATTGAAGCGCTTTTCAATAAAGTAAAAAAACACTTCTAATTAATTTTTAAAATAAGTATTAATAAACTGTTGCTTTTTTTAATTTATATAATTATTCATTTTTTATGAGAAATGTTTATCTTTTGAAACATTAAATAAAAAATAAAAAGGTACAAATGTAAAAACAAAGATTCAAATGGTTTTTTAATGCGTAAATTAAATAGACTAAGCATTTGAGTTTGATGAGTTTTGTTTTAGTTGGGTTATATATATATATATATATATATATATATATATATATATATATATATATATATATATATATATATATATATATATATATATATATATATATATATATATATATATATATATATATATATATGTATATATATATATATATATTTTTGTGTGTTTTTGCTTTAACTAAGTATTTCTTTAATTTTTTTTTCGTTAAGATTTTTTTTATTTTTACATTTTTTTTTTTTTAAATAAGTTTAAGTAAGTTTTTGTAGCCCAATTTTAAATTTGGAAAATATGTCAAAAGCCGTGGTCAAATTGTAAAACAATTTTTGTGTGGTATATAAAGACATGCGATCGCATGCCTTCCTGTGAAAGCCTGTTTATCATCATGGAAAAAAGTTTTACCTGATGAACTTCATGCTACAAGATCTCTATTATGTACTTCATTTAATTGTTGTCCACATGAATATCTTTTCAATTTTTAATGTAGATCATCATTTTGGTCCTTCATGGCTTGTAAACCAAAGGCCTATATTTATAAAAAGAAATGTGATGCAAAGTAAAGATTCAATAAAGGAGGTGCAGTTCATTGAAGAAAATCCTCATTATGCTTTTGTAAGATATCTGTAATTATCCTCAAACCCCTAATGGTAGCAATAAAACTCCATTAACCTCTGAAAAGGAAAAGGCTAGAAAACAATCTGATTGCTATAGAGCAAATAGACATTCTTCCTCCTAGATCTTTACAAACTTCTAAAGCAACCACAATTAATGCTAAGAATAAATTGCTTATTTTCATGCCTATACATCAACCTAACTATTTCCAACATGATGGCGTACCCTGCCATCAAGCTGCAACCGTCAAGGCTTGGCTACAACAACAGAATAAATATATTGATACAATATATATATATATATATATATATATATATATATATATATATATATATATATATATATATATATATATATATATATATATATATGTATATGTATTATATATATATATATATATATATATATATATGTATATATATAAATATATATATATATATATATATATATATATATATATATATATATATATATATATATATATATATATATATATATATATATATTATATCAATATAATTATGTATACATATAAGTATTTAAGCCTCGACAGAAAGCAAGAGATTTAGCTTTTGATCTCACCTACACTCCCCTAAAACGGTTTACAAGAGCAATTTATGGCTCTCACAATCATTGTAACTAAAATGAAAAACACGAAGTTATTTTCATTTAAAAAAATTAATTGCATAATAAACTGCAATGCTTTTTAATAGGCACGGTTGTTAAAAAAACAAAAAATTAAAAAAACAGTGCCGATTTAAATGCAAATGTTTTAATGGTGTTTAAAGGAGCAGCTTGCATAGCTTGCCATGTTCATTTTAGGAGAGCTTTTCTCCACTCTTGCATCCATTTACTCCTGGCAAGGCCTGAGTATTGTATTATATAATCTATACTTTATGTATTTTGTTATTTTGTTAGAGTAATATAATTATAGCTCTTTTGAGCCAACATAATTCATAAATTCATTTGGTTATTTATTACAAATGCTATCAAGTTCAAGTTAAAACTATTGAAGATAACTTAATCCGGCAAACTGTAGTGAGAATAAAATGATAAAACAGAAAGGATAAAATCAAAGATTTTGGAAAACTTTCAATAACAAACTCGCTATATATTAAAAAAAGAACACCAGCATGCTAAACTCAAAAGCCTTTAATATTTCCAGATAAAAGCCTTACTAAACCAATTTTCAATAAATTAGTTGTTTTACTATCTGGTAATTAACTTTAGCAATACAAAAAGAAAATTAAAAACCATATTGATTGTCAGAATGTTTTTGAAATTATATTGAGATATTAGACCTAAAATTTAGATAAGTACCTATCAAATAGTTTTAACAATATAGAATAGGGCACAAAAGAAAAACTTTGCATTATTGAAAAGAATGTTATATAGATTACAAGTTATTATTGTTAATACTTGATGACTTAAAGTTGAATGATTCAAAATAAGTTAAAAAATAAATAAAAAATACAGCAAGTAAAATGTGATTATAAAAGGTTTCTAAATAAAAACAAAACTTCATCACCAAAAATACTTACTAAACCAATCACTCCATGCATCTTGTTGTAGTTCAGGTGCATACTTTTCAAAAAATTCAATTACTCTCTCAGGTTTATTATTTTGTAAAGCACGTACAACATATAATTGTAATACATTAGTTTCTAGTTTCTTTACTAGTTTAAAAGTTTCATGACCAAGTTGGCTAAAGTAACACCTTTCAAAATAGCGCCAATAACTTTTTAAGTTAGCGATTTCATAGTTTTGAATGTATAGCGAAAACTGTTCCAATATTTTATCTACCTAATAAAAATATTTTAGCTTTATTATTTAGTATTTAATATTAATAATTAATTTTGTTATTTAAAAAATGCTATTGTGAACTAGGGCATAAACAAAATTTAAAAAAACATTTTACCCTATAGGATTTATTGTTATCGTTTTTAATTTCAGTTTCTAAAACTTTCAAAGATGATGTAAAGCCTCTAAAAATCAAATACTCCTTCACCAATAAGTCGATGGTTGAAGATAACGCAGCCATTTAATGGCCTCAACAATAAACATATGCTATATACTATGTATGTATTTTTTAGTAATTTTGTAACACTTAAAATATATACACAAATTTTACTTAAAAACTGAATTAAAAATAAGGAAAAAACATAAAAATTATGATATATCTCATATTTATAAAAACTTACCACAGGCTACCACAAGTTTGTTTTAAATAGCAAATAAAAAATTTAGTGAAAATTAACTTTATACTTTATACTTTATATAACAATTTAATATAAGAATTTAATATAACAATTTAATATAACTTTATATAACAATTTTAAAAAAATCCTGATTTCAAAGAATGTTATATAGAATATATATATATATATAAACTTTTAGCAAATTTTAATAATTTGACAATATAATTAAAAAAAAATTAAATTTTATGTTATTTAAATGTGTATGTATTTTAAACTTACGTAAATAATTATGAATTTACATTGTTATTATTATTATTATTACTATTATTATTATTATTATTATTATATATATATATGTATATATATATATATATATATATATATATATATATATATACATACATATATGTATATATATATATATATATATATATATATATGTGCGCGTGTATATATATATATGTATCTATATATATATATATATATATATATATATATATATATATATATATATATATATATATATTATATATATATATGTAACATATATATAGATACACACACACAAAAATATATATATATATATATATATATATATATATATATATATATATATGTATATATATATATATATATATATATACATATAAATATATATATATATATATATATATATATATATGTATATATATATGTATATATATATATATACATATATATATATATATATATATATATATATATATATATATTTATATGCACATACGCACACACATATATATATACAAAATAGTGGTCTTTTAGATTAAGTTTGCAAATACAAACAATTTGTTTATCTTTTATAATGCATTGAAAACTACATGTTATAAAAACCATTTCAAGTTCATTTTTATATTTTGCAGCAGCATCATGTTTTTTTTTTTATGTTTTCAATTACAGTTAATAAATTGTTAGCTGTCATTGATCCATATACTAAAGTAACACAGGTCTGTAGATAATTTTGGTTTAATCTTTTTGATTGTTATAAAACCTAATATTTCTCCCATTTAGATTTTCCATGAAGTTTATCTGTTAGTTCCAGGGTTGACTATAACCTGGATTTTTTTAATTTGATCTGATTAAGTGGTAGTATTATTGGGTTTTTAAAGGGTTTTTTGAGTTATTCATATAATTTATATTTTTTCATCAATATTAATTGTGCATCAAATGAGAAAATGACAAAGTATTTAAAATACTTTGTTGTTAATCAAAACTAAACTCCTTTGAAATATCACTAAAGATCTTAAATAAATATACAACAAAAAGTATTTGCAATAACAATATCAAAATATATATTTTTTGGTTATCCATTTATCCCATATATTGGCTAAAACTAACATAAAACTTTTGTTTAAAGAGTCTTTCTGTTTATGAAAACCACTGGAAATGTTATTATTTATTCGTGCAAGAAGATAAGTAAAACCTGCTGTAACTTGAGGATTAAAAAAGAGACAAATTTATTTGAAATCAAAAAAAGATAAAATGTTCAAGTCTATTCTTGAGCTCTCTCTCTCTATCTGATAATAAGATAATGGGTCTCTTTATATTTTTTTAGTAGGCATCAAATTTTTTTGATGCAACTAAGAACAATTGATGATTGCGTACTTCATTATCAGATTTTATGATAAACAATTTTGGAATCACTTGCTATTTCTGTTGAAACAATGACACGTGTTGATGTAAATAATAAAATAAAAAATATTTTTACTGTTATATTTAAAAATATACAGAATACAATAAAGACTTCATAATACAGTCTTCCTTAAAACATAGACATAAACAATTAAATCATAATAGATGACAAACAGAAACCACGTTAGAGTACACTAGTACAATAATTTTGTTTCAGAGCTCATCAGCTCAAGAATGATCTGAAGTCTTCATGATGCTTTAACAGATTAAACTGAATTAATTATTAGGGTTTTTTTATCATACTTGAAATTTTTACTTAAAATAAAAGATAAATTTAGTTCAATTTGTTAAATAAGTACCAAATCTTTCTTATTTATTTTTTATTCAGCAGCTTTATATATTTGCAGTATTAGTTTGGGCATCATGTTGAAAAGAAGATACAACTAATCTAATGTTTGCAACAATGTACAACTTAATTAAGTTACTTGTACTTATGTAAGTAATTGACCTTTACGAAAAAATTTATGCCAATATTTGCACTATTATTAATGCTATGTAATGGTTTGTATTATTAATGATTATTAATACATATATTTTATAATAATATTTTAAACTATTGATGATTTATACACTTAAATTTAATTTTAAACCATTAATAATGGTTTAGATTTGATAAAGCATAAATCAACTATGAAATTATTGATTTCTTATTTTATGCTAATTAATTTTATAGATTATAGAAATTCTACTAATCTTATAATTTATATATGTGATAAGACTTATAATAAGTTATAATAACTCATAATAAGTTAAGAAAAATTTACACAATTGATGTTATAAATCTTGGACTAGAATATGATTTCATAGTTACAACAAAAGGTGAATTATTGTGCGAGAAAATTTAAAACAACTACTGAATAACCATAGCATTGATATGTATAAAAATTATGAAGTAAATTTTGGCAATCGTAACTTTGCATAAAAATTGTTTGCGGCAATTAATGTTGAAAATTAGGCATTAAGATCGAAAAGTTTTGACGGTTGACCGTTTATATACTGTCCTCCAAAAGGAAACACATGTTTAAAATTTATAAAAACAATGTATTTTGTATTAAAAATGAAATGGTAAAATTACCATTTCATCTTTAATACAAAAAAGTATTGCTTTACGTAAAACGTGGTAACCATATTTTACATTAATTTCACCGTATTTTAGGGCGACGACATGGCTTATGAAGTGGGGGGGGGGGGGGGAGGGAGGGCATATTCATCAATTTGTGAAAAAGTCTTCTATATCTTAAAACACCGGGGGTCCCCTGACCCCCCGTGTCGTCGACCCTGTCTTTCACCAATGGTGCAAGCAACTATGTTTTTTTTTTTTTTTTTTTTGTGTTATTTAGGTGCCCCAAAAAAACCTAACGGTCTTGTCACAGAGCACCGCGGAAGCGCATTTAACTAGGAAGTTTACGCCACTTAGGAAGTTACCTCCTTTCTTACCGTGACGCGAAATTATATCCAGAATTCGTTTCGAACCTGGATCTCCTGCTTATAAAGCAAGCGCTGTAACCACTGCGCCACGGCCGCATAAATGACTGGCAAATGGATCTTAGAAGATCCAAAGCAATGTTATTAGTATAACGTGAAAAACTGCAGAAAGTAAATATAAGCTACTATTTTTTGATTCTGAATTTTTGATTTTTGAAACTGATTCGTTTACAATGTATAAAATAAAATATCTTACATAATATATGAACTTTTTTCAGTATAAATATTAAATTTTTAATTTATATATTTATTAATTAATATAAAAGTTAAAAGGACGCAGAAGACCAGATGGTCTTGTCATCAAGAAACTGCTTGTACTTGTAATACTTTTTGTGTTTTCGTTTTTAATGTCCATTGGTTTTAATGATTTACCAACTTCTCATATTTTATCTATCGTCTGAACCTCCCAAGATAAATGTCAACTCATTCAACCGTAATATTAGACTCCACTGAACAGTGGGCTAGAATTGTCTTAAAATTGCAAAACATTTTATGGGTTAAACATAAACATATGATACATGTTTAATGGGATTTTTGGGGCCAAGGATTTCATTTTCGGGCTCCAAATTATATTTAGAGTGGCCATGGCTATTGTCAAGGGAGGTCCTGGAATGTCCCTATTGTTTTTCATTTTATAACGTGTTTTATGTCTAAATTTAGGTAATTATGGTCAGAGAATTTGAATCTAGAAATATTCGGTCCTTAGGAGTGGTCATGATTTCTCGTTTGGTCATTTTAAGGGGTTGTCAATGGTGGTACTGAAATATCCTAAAGATTTTTTAATTAGACAGTACATATTGTATATCTAAATATAGGTAATTGAGATAAGGAAAATCAAATCTGAGCATATTTGGTCTCTGGAAATGGTCATAACCGTACAGGTGGTTATTTTAGGGGTTGTCAAAGGTCCTGGAATGCCCCAATGGTTTTTTAATTAGATGGAATAGTTGTATGTCTAAATAATTGAGGTTGGGGGATTTTTAGGAAATCTGGACATGTTTTGTCTCCAGGAGTAGTTATGTTTGCATAGGTAAGTTTGGTCATGGGTTTTCAAGACAGTATTTTTTTATTTTTATTTATTTTATGTAATTATTTTTTTTTGTTATTGTAAATATAAACATAAAAATTGGTAACAATTTTTTGGTTTGATTGAACTGATTGATATCAATAAATTTGAACTCTCTCTCAGCAATATTCTTTAAAAGCAATTTCCAAACTAAAATTTTCTCAAAAGTGGGGGTAACAAAATTTATTTCTTAGACCAATTAACATTTGGATAACTAAATAAGTATTTCAGTTTGGCATCTCCTCCCCCTACCCACCCACCCAGAAAGAGCAGATCATGGGCCAAAATGATCACATATAATGATTACATTAATTAAAAAAACATTTTAATGGAAAAATAAAAATATTAGTGTATCAACCAATATATTTTTTGTGTTTGTTTGTTTATTTCACCGTTTAACAACATTTACAATTTAAAAGTGTATAAATAAAAAGATTGGCAGGGCAAGTAGGAGTCACTATTTTGTCTCATCACCGAGCCCTAATCGTATGTATTTACAAAAACCGTAACATATACGTATAAATTGTTCATTGAAAAATATAAAGCTAAAATAAATAACAATTAGTTTAACAAAAAAAGTTTATTCAAGAACAATATTCATGTAAATCAAGTAAACAAAAAAAAAATCAAGTAAACAAAAAAGAACCAATTAATTA